CCTGGCATTTAGGATATCCAGACATTGTGCTTCTTTGTCATGACCAGAATATACAGTTATCACCTTTATAATTAAAGTCACCCATTGCACCAGAACTTTCTTCTCTGGATGCCTTGCAGATGTCATCCTCCATCTCAAGATCGGCCTGAGCATCATTTTGAGCAGGAGGGTGGATTGCATTGCTCTTCCCTGCTCCCCTCCACCCTCCACACAATTCTGAGGAGGAGAATTGCAGATTTACCCATTTCTAGTTTGTCTGAACATTTCCCTCTTTGGCATGTAGAGCAACACTGCTCTCAGCATGCCCTTTCTATAGAGTTTGTGTCTAGATATTTCCTTGTTTGTATTGTTCCTTATGACATTTCTATACTGTCTAGTAGTCAAAATGGAAAAAGGGAAATGAAATGCAGAAAGTACAGACAATGCCAATGAAACTATAAAAAAATATCCTTTCACAACATAATGGGTGATGCTAACACATTCATCCTGGCATCTATTTATGTATTTATTAGATTTATATTCAATCTTTTTTCTTAAAAAGTACTCCAAGTGGCTTACATCATTCTCCTCCTCTTGCTCTCCATCTTATCCCCACAGTGACAACCCGGTGAGGTGAGAGTCTGTGACTGGCCCAAAGCCACCTAGTGGCTCCATGGCTGAGCGGGGACTAGAACCCAGATCGCCTGGGTCCCAGATCCGTGCACTTAACCATGCACTACACTGGCTCTCTCTCAGCATTTGTAAACTAATTGGGACAAGCAATTACCTTGCAAATGCTGAGGAAAAAAACAAATTTTATCCAGATGCAAGCCAGAATCTCTTGAAGTATTGTAATTCAGCAGGTTTGCATTGCAGTCTGCCTTTGAAGCTCTTTTGTGCAAGAATAGCCACGTTAAGGTGAGTTGTACAGAGAGGTTTTCTACATAAGGCTATCAGCTGCCAATCTCTGTGTCTAGTTTCAGTTTCGTCTCCATACTGAGATCTAAGAAGCATTTCCTTTCCTGCTTTTCCACTCAATATCCTCTAGCTCAGGGGTTTTCAACCACCAGTCTGTGGACCAGTACCAATCCGTGGGAGATTTCCTGCTGGTCCATGGGGGGGTGGGAGGGCTGTGGGTCCTGCTCACCACAGACTGACGTGGGGCTGGCTGTGCTCCACCACTTCTTCCTCAGTTGGCATTGTGTTCTCAGGGAGTGTGCAGTGCTGCCGGGGGGGGGGGGGGGGGAGAGAGGTGGCTTAGTGTGAGCTGGCTAGGAGCCACAATTTTGTTCTTTTGTTAGCATTTTGCTGCTTGGTTCTGGTTGTTTTGGAGAATTTTCATTCTTTTAGTATTGTGTTTGGAAACTAATATACAGAATACTGTATTATGTGTATGGCGCTTTTTGTTTCTGCCTCAGTGGTCCCCAAGGAGGTTTTCTGTTTTCACCAGTCCCCAGCTGAGGAAAGATTGAAAGCCACTGCTCTAGCTGGCACTGTGGCATGGTGGAATAGTGCAAATACACAAGCAAAAGTGACACTTTCTTTCACTTTCACAATTATAGGCTGCATGTTCTCTGCTTTAAAAAAACCTTGCAGAAAATGCTGGTTAGACATTAGAAGCAAAGCTGGAGGTTCATGAAGTTGTCTAAAAAACATATAGACAACTGTGAGGAGAAAATGACAATTGCACAATCAATGCCTCTTCTAGAAAAATCCAGTTTTTGGTCATATGCATGCTTTCTGATTCTTTGCTTCTTATTTTCTAATCTTGCTAGCTAAGATAATGCTCTATTATTTTATACTCTTCTCCTTTCTTTCAGACTTCTCTCATCTCCATCTAGAAAAGATTATCACAGAATCTCAGCCCAACCTACCTCATAGTGTTGCTGTCATGAGTATAAGATTGTGAGGAGGAGGAGAATTATGTAAGCTTCCTTGAGTTCCTTGGAAGGAAAAAAGACAGGATATAAATATAATATACTAAAAATGCCACTAATTCAAAGAATTCATCCTAAGAGGTCTGGGAGATTCCTTTCAGCTTTAACGTCTTTGAATGGATTCATGACAAGTCAGGATGGGAACATCACATGCCTGAAATCTGCCGGCATAGTCAATAAAAGGTAGGACATTCACTTGACTTGAGGCCTGGAATGTATCAGTTCTCAAGGTTGAGGCCTGAAGTTCTCAAAAGCTGCTTGTCTTTAAGGTAGCTAATCTAGACAAACAAGATGGCTTTCCTCCAGGCTATTTTGTTAGCCATATAGTAAATTGTTAGGTTCACAGCTGTAATAGTTGTAAACTCCTGCTGTAGTTAACAATGTGTTAAAATTGCATGAGGGAACTTGTTCTAGGAATCAGTCTGCTGACAGTCTTCCCTCTATTTTTGCGGACGCAGCAACTCTCACAACTTTCTCCCCACATATCATGAGTACATATAGAGCTAGCACCAGTTTCCTCATCTTATAGTAAGTGTCATGCCATGCCTTCTTTTTTTAAAACAGGGGGAGGGGAGATAAACGGACTCAAGAATAACAGATGACCACACGTCCCATTTCAAAGTTTTTAAAATTGAATTCTTTTAAAACTGAAGAGTTTTGCATGTTAGCCCTGTAAATCCATCTTTAAATGTGTTTTCTCAGTCCTGAGTTATGTGTATTTTTCATCATGCATTGGGTGGCCATGTGCCCTAATTTGCACAGAGCACTCCTCTATTTAAAGGCAATCTGTTTCAAGGTTGAATATGTTCACTCCCCATCCCCAGACAGTCTTCTCCCATATAGGGTGTCCCCAGGATGCTGGGGGGGGGGGGGCACAGGTTTGACACCCAAAATCGCTAAGGAAGTCCAACACATCCAAATCTTGCTTTTTTCCAAGTAAGGTTTGTCCATTTTAAGCTTTCATGGCTAAATCTTGCTCCTGTTGAATCAAGAATCGGACATTTCAGGCATCTTTAACAGGATTTCAGCCGCTGGGGAGGTAGCCTAAGTGGGTCTTGCCACACCAGCCTACAAACCTGCACAGGAGTCTGCCTTTACAAACCTTTTATTTCTTCAGAACTTTAAGCACTGAAATATGTAGTTGATTAATAGTTCCATTGATTAACACGGACGTATTTTGAATTTGGCTGTTCACTCGTTTCTCCCTTTTCTAATTTTCCTCAGGGCTCGAATCCTGGCATGACATTCTCAAAAGGGGACTGCTTCTTTGAAGCAAAGAATGTCCGCCAACGAGGGAAACAACCAGGTGGTCTGAAGAGTGCTGTGTCGCTCAGTGGGCTCAGTGCAACCAAGTGTCTCTTTCCTCTGGGCCACATCACAAGCTTCATTTAAAACGCCTCTTCATTTCAAAAGCAACTTACCATGTGACATCAGGGACGCTCCGATAAAAACAAGACCGAATTCCCACGGCACTCCTTTCATGGTTCTTTTTTGGATCGTTGCCATTTCTATTACTATAACCTGTTCTATAACAATATTCTGCTGCAACAGATCAAGCAGGATATCATTCTGGAATTTATCATGTGACAGCTTTTCAATTCAAACAAAAAGCTCTGGGACTAAGCATACATACAAATTATATAGATATAAATCGCTTGGAATAAGCATTATTATAGTCAAGTTAGGCATGGCATCCTTCTTCAAATTCACTTGTCTGTGCTGAGGAGCTGTATCCTCTTGCTGCATATAGAGTAGACCTGCATTCCCCAACATGATGCTTTCCCATTTGTTTTTAACTGCGGTTTCCATCATCCAGGGCAACACATTAGGCAGGTACCACATTGGGGAAGGCTGGAGCAGACAGACATACCAATTTCTGTGGCATAATCCTGTGCAGAGCAGCCATGATGAAGCAGTCATTTGAAATCATGAAGAAAGGCTGCTTCATGCAGAGAGAGAATTGTGTGCACTGGCTGATCGTGTAAAGCTGCAACTCCTTCCTATGCCTCCACAGTTACTGGAGAATGGAGGTGCCGTGCCTGTGCATAGCAGTTGCTGGGGAACATGAGCAGAAGAGTGCTATTGCAGTCATGCTTTGCTTTAGGCTTCCTGCAGACAGCTGGTTGGCCACTGTGTCAATAAATGCTGGACTAGACAATGAGATGCAGCATTGCTCTTCCTATGCACTGGTGACTAGCGTGCCAGTGTCTCCTGTGGGTTTTGCCAGTGTCTACTGTGCAGTGTGCGAAGGACACTGGAAGTGTTGCCCTGTGCCACCTCCCCAACCCCTAAGAACCTGAGGGATTGGCATACATTAGAGGAGAAGCAGATGACAGCCTTCAGCAAGAGCCACCAGGCACTTCGGGGCTTGGAGAAAGGGGCACAGGGTTTGTGACACTCCTGCCAAGTCGCTCGCTTGCTCCTTTCTTGTGGGTCATTTTAGCCAAGTTCAAATGAAACAGTCAACCATGGAGTGTTAAGCAAGCCGTACAAGAAGCCATGGCTTGTCTGAGTGGCTTATAAACCAAGCTGAAGCCACTTTTGCAACACAGTTCTGGGTTTGGACAACATGCCAAGCCTCTGTGGCTTCAAATGCTCCTTCAGAATGCAGAATCTGTCCGTGCTGGAACTGCTGCAGGTATTCACAGCCTTCTCTAACACAAATGTCTACCTGCCCTTAGGGAAAGATCCAAAATTGTTCCAGAAATGCCTGAGAGGCAAACGCCTGTGTGCCTAAGCAGAACTGTTAACAGTCCCAGCAGATTTTAAAAGTGAGAGAAATGAGTCATAATCACATGAGCTGGGGAAAGGAGAGGGAGAGAGAATGAGAGAGAGAGAGAGAGAGAGAGAGAGAGAGAGAGAGAGAGAGAGAGAGAGAGAGAGAGAGAGAGGAGTGAAGACACAAAATCATGCATCTCTCCTTAATGCCATCACATGATGAGCCCTGGGGCCTTAATTTAATCGCAGGAGAGGAGGGCAGCAGGGAAGTGTTATTCCCAGATAGGCTCTGAAGAGATTTGGAGAAACAGCACATAGACCAGTGCAAGTTCTGTGATCCAGGCATTCACTTGCATCTACACACTCATGAAGTGGGCTTGCCTCCTCTTTCTCCTCGGATACCTGCTCGTGGCTGAAGGAGTTCTACCTGCTGTGGCCACCAGACGTGAGTGCCTGACACCCCCTTTTTAATCCCTTCACTAAACCGATCCGCCATAGATTGTCCATTCAGAATGGATAAAAGCGGCTTGCACCTGTGTCTTTAACTGCTGATGCACCTGAAGAAACCAGCAAGGGAAGCATGAGAGGGGAGGGGGTGCAAAGTGCCACTCAGGCTGTTGCAAACTGCACAGCACAAGGATGAAGCTGCACAGTCCTCATCTCCAGTGATAGAGTTATGAGAACAATCCTATGTGTCTCGCTGCTTCTAGAACAGGGCTGCAATTCCTTATGCATGTATATGGCAGTAACTCACGTTAAACTCAATGGGGCATGCTGCTGAGTTGATGTATAAGATTGCATTGTTCAGGTACACGCTCACTTGATCCAGAGTCGTTTCCTCTTCATGCCCTGTAACCATCCCGTCTAACTTCAGGTAACGGATGCCTTTTCCCATCCCTTGTACTACTTGCTTATAGAGGATGAGAATCCTGTTTCATATGAATGATTCTGAGTTACAGAACAAGGAATGATGAGAACTGATCCTTCTGTGTGAATTATCCCAAATGAATGCATTGATTAATGCAAATATTAGTGCATGAGGTGTGGAAGTGTTTTTCACTTCTGATGCCGCCTGCTCCTGGCTCCCACAGATGGCCCCGGAACGGGGACGTGCTGACAGCCATGATAGCCACAGAGTTTCTCTTCCAGACCTCAAGCATCTCTTGGTAGCCCCAATGTCTCCTTCAGGAATTGTCCTTGCCTCACAGGGACACAGGAATCCACCTTCTACCATGTCACATCCTTAATCTATTTAGTTATTTAACACTGACTGGCATCACAGGCTATGACATGCTTTGGGCAAGAATTTCTCGGGCCCTAGTTGGAGACATGGGCACTGAACTGGAGACTTCTGAATGCAAACCAGGGGCTCTTTCCTCTCATAAAATTGCACTGCCAACCTTTTTTCTTGGTGGGGTTCTGATGCTGCCACTCCCTCGTTCTTAAGAGCCAGCTGCATCCTACATTTTCATATTTGTACAAATGCACCACCAGCCTTGTTTTTCTTTTAAAGCAGTGCCACTTTAAGAAGAGGGAAGTTTTGAAGGGAAAGCGGTGGGGGGTTGTGCAACTTCTCCACTCATTTTTCTCCTGTGGGGTTCAAGATGCAAGTTTCTGTGGGCAACATCCCTTCTGACTGGTAAAGGATGGACAGAGGGACTTCTCTGGGAGCCCAATTCATGGCAGAGAAGCAGCATGCAGGGCGAGGGTGTGGCACCCATTCCTGCCCTTTCCCTGCTTTTACCTTTCTCCTTCCAAAGCAGCTTTTTTTAAAATACAAAAGCTGTTGGGTGTTGTTACACACAATAGTATATAATGTGTCTTTGACAGGGCACAGATAAATGGGAGAAATATTTGAGCATCTCCGGTTCAAAGAATACAGCAATAGTTATACTTGGGGCACAGGGTTAAATCTGTTTTGATTGTTAATCTACTCAAGACTTGGAAAGACACTCTGGTCTCCATTCCAATTTTCATTACTTTAGGATGATTAGTTTTTAAATTTATATTTGTAAAATGCATTCACAGGGTCAAAGAATAGGGTGGCTTTTTGTATTTACTAGCATGTAAGATCACTTCTTACAGTGTAAATCTTCTCATCTGACCCACTGGAAGAATGCTGAAGAAAAAACTCCTTTCAAGACTTGTGATTTTAACTGAAATGCAAGGCATTTCATAAAGCAGCCTCATTTGTGTCAGCCTCAACAACAACAGAAGGATGCCTAAGAACGTTTTTCCCCTGTTATAAAAGGGCAGCATTAAAATAAGAACATGTGTCAAAGCAAGCATAAATTGCTACCAGATGAACTTTGTTAGTGGGAATTGCTAGTTTTGACTCTATAACATATGCAGATCATATCCTTCTATTTCAGTAATGCTTACATAGACTAATCTCCATTGTTCTGTATTCACTATCGCTAATTTGGATTTAAACTTGCATCCTTTCCATGAGTATGCATTTAAAGGGTGGAGATTTTCTTTTTAATGTCTTGTGTTACTTTCCTTTAACTCACCTGGCTTTGAGAACAAACAACTGTGACAAGTGATTTTGGAATTTACACACCCATTGGCACACAATGAGAGGCAGCTCTCTATAAAAAGCAGTGGGTTGTAGATTTATTTGTGGGGTGGGGAGATTCTTATGTCTGCTGAAAATATATGAGCTTCTTCTGGAGAAGAAACATATAACAGAAAACACCTTAAAGAGGTCTTAGTTGGACATAGTCTTGCTCCAGGAAAATAGAAATCTTTGGTACAGGTTTCCAAAAATATTTGTGAGGCCTGGATTGCATTCATCCTGTATAAATGGGGTCCAAGATAGACATGGCATTGCGCATGTGATGCACTGGCCCACATGGTGTTGTTTGTGTTTAATAAATGCAGTCACAGGGGGGCCACTTGGACCAGGGGAGGGTGAACATGCCAAGCTTGGTCTGGAAGTTCTCTGAATTGTTCCTCAAAGCTCAGTTCTCCTCATTTGCATCCCTGAACCTAATTATCCTTCCACACCCCACATGGGGGAAAATGTGCATTTTTAATCAAGGACAAGTATGCATTTTTAAAGTGTGCATGCAAAATGTGTATTTTCCCCCATCCAACAAAATATGAAGAATGCACATTTCTGGAAAGTGTTACCCAACATGCACAGTTTTTGAAACCTGGAGAAATATTCAAACAGGAAGGAGGATGATCAGCCTTCAAATCACTTTTAAATTAATTTTTTAATAGTCTAAAGGTTTATAAAATGGTGTGGCCCTGGCAGCAGGAGGCCAACACAAGCAGCTATCAGATATGACCATTTGATGACCATCATCTTTTACATGGTGTATACAAATCTTCTCCAGTCTGGAGGGCACCAAATTTGGGAGAGTTAGTTTACAGTTTTAAACTTCAGTGGCACTTAGCCTCATTCACATTTGGTGCCTAACATAATGCAGAATTATCACAGATGGTTGATCTCATGTACCATGACAGAAAGGCAATTGCTTAAGATCCTTACAATAAGGTTACAGAGTGAAAAGGGGTTGCTGAGCCCTTCGCCTTGCACCAGGTGCAGATCCTGTTTCTTCTCCTGGGGCAAGAGGGGCAGAGAAATTGGTTGGATAGAACGTTTTTGTTTTGATCACCCATTGTCTGAATTCAGGGCCCTTCTTCCATCCCCACATATCCTTTTGATTAGTGTTTATTCAGGGCAGGACCTTGGGACAGAAATCCAGGGGTTTCTTCAGCAATTGGAGCAGGCTAATTTACCACTTTTTGGAGTAAGTGAAGTGATGCACACTTCTATATAAAGAGCAGGGAGGCTTGACATGAAATAAGCAAAATAGATAGATAGATAGATAGATAGATAGATAGATAGATAGATAGATAGATAGAATAAAAAAATAACAAAAACTGAAACAAACCAAAACAGAAAAACCTAATAATTTCAGTCAGAGAAACAATGAACAAGAAGGAATCCAGAATCCACAAACAAGAATCATACTTTTGAGCTTATCACCTTCTTAAAAGCGCTGCCATATTGAAAAGAACTACCCATCAGACAGTGTATCCTATGAAACAATCCAGAGATCCGAAATTGTGTCAAATGAAAGATGGGAAAAAGACTGCAGATCCTCAGATTTTGTATAATTTCAAGCTAAGATTACAGGATGAGTTTGTGTCTCTTGGAAAGAATCCAAGTTGCCATCTTATGACCATCCAAATTATGACTCATCCAAACCATACAACATTTGTTGTAGACTACATGCATGGCTTAAACCAATTAATATAATTCCACAAAGTACTTTCATGTAAGAGCTGCATTTGATTTACTTTGTCTCTGAGAATGTGAAAAGGAGCAAATGGAAGACTGGCAAGTGTTAATTCACAAGCTGGTACATTTACAAATGTCCTTTTGAACATGCTACACACTAAGGAAAAACATCTAAGCTACAAGTTTTTGATATGTGTTGTAGAATGTTACATGAGCTTTGCAGTATAAGTAGCACAGAGAAAATAATTGTGGTAACTCCTGTCCCATTTTTAACTTTTCTAGAATTTCGAGATGTGATGAGTCAAGGAAGAAAATCTTCTCATAACGAATTCCATGGCAGGCTAAATAGCTGGTCTCCTGATCACAATAACTGGAATGACAAGCTTTATCCTTACTGGGAAAAAGGAGACCGCAGGTGGAAAGACTGCTGGAAAGGTAGGGCTCTGTGTGCAGTGTGAGATGAGGGAGAGCAGTCTGTCTCACCCAAATGAGTCTGATATCATTATGCATTAAACCACTTGGTATATGAATTTTGACATGTGTGCTTTTCTTATTCTACTGAATTTCAGTACAACTAGTTTAAACATGAAATACAATTTAAAAAGGAGGAGACGGTCCATGGACCAAATAAACACTTGACTGAGTTTTTAAGAGGAGGAATGGCCATTTCCATGTTACAGGGTTGTTTTAAATATCACCAGTGCAGAAGAAGCATTTGGGGAAAGTGCTGTGTAACAGGACTGGGCAGGTTTCTGGGCTTCCTTTGATTTTATAACAACTCTGAGATTTTACAAGATCCCTCAGCAAAGCCAGGGGCAGAAGACACACATGAAGAACTGAAGAATTCTATATCTGGGAATGTGTTTCAAATCTCAGAACTGAATGCAGCTCACAGTCATTCCCCACACAAATTGACTTCTGGTTATTCTTCCCTTAGAGGACATTTTCATTCCAGTCCACAAAGGAACATTTATGGAAGGGGTGGGTTGCCATTATATCGTTGAATGAAAAAACCATACTGATCTTTTACAAATGCCCTGTCAATCTACCAGTAGTTTTTGCTCTACTATCTGCCCATCCCTACTAGGAATGTTGTGAGGATAAAATAGGGTTGGGGAGAGAACCTTGTACATCTTGCTGATATCCTTGGAGGAAAGACAGGATATTTGTTATGTGCCATCAAGCCATTTCCAACATGGTGACCTTATGGATGAAAGACCTCCAGAATGTCCTATCCATGATAGTCTTGCTCAGTTCTTGTAAATTCAGGGCTGTGGCTTTCTTTATGGAGTCAACCCATCTCATATTTGGTCTTCCTTTTAAAAACAGACATAATCTTGACTTTTTTTCAGGGGGAAGAGTAGTAGCCAATTTGACCAGTGACAGCCCAAGCCTGATAGGATCCAATGTGACCTTTCGTGTGAAGCTGATTTTTCCTAGATGTCAAAGAGAAGATAATGACAGCAATATAGTATATGACAGAAAGTGCATAAATGGTAAGTAACAGCTCTGATTGCATTTTAATCTTCTTGAGTTTTCTACCTCCATGTTCCATCTTGAGGTGCTTAAAGATGAAGCTTTTAGCATGACAATGACCCTGCCTCATCCCTGGATAGTGTATCCAACTGTAGTGGTGTATTTCACAGTACAAATAGACATTCGTCATGGCCGTCCACATTACATGCCCATAAAAGTTTTAAAAACAACAGCAACAGAGACCTGTGTTGATTGATGTCAACAAAATAGTCCAAGCAGTTCTCCTCTCCCCCAGAGGCAGGGCTTCTGTGAAGTGCATGGGCTTCAGTTGCTCGTTAAGGACTGAGCCACCTTAAAATACATTGCATTACAACAAGCAACTACATATTAATTTGGATCCTACTGCAGGCTGGGCTCATGAGGGGCATCCTTAAGCCACAACAAGCTGTGGCACATTTTGGGCATGTACAGGTGACATTTTAAATATACAACCCATGTTTGGGGATTGACATGTGTGAACCCACTCACCTGGGGTAATTTGAGGAATAAACAATCCCTACATAATCCTCATTTTATTGTAAGGTTACACCAGTTTGGTGGCTGAATTCACATGACATGCCAATCCCTGCTTGGTGGTATATTAAAAATTTCACCAGGCATGCATTCCAGCTCCTGCTGGGTTGAAGAACCCCCAGTGAGCCAGCCATGTCATGCAAACCAGCCTGTTCTTGCTTAGAAAACTCCTTTCTCCACATGAGGATTGCAGCAAAACTCAGACAGAAGCAGGAATTCTGAGTGGGGCAGGGCAGATCAACATCCATGTTCTTACTAATAAAAAGGTAAGAGTGCTATGTCTCTCTGAGTCCTGCCTCCATCACATGTCATGGAATTTTGCAGAAAGCCCATTTGTTGCTGGTATCCACTTATTATGCTTTTCTGTTTGCTCACTGCTCCTTTGATCTTCTTTCGTACCACAGAAAAACCACTAGGTAAGGAAAGATGGAAACAGCTACAAATACTTTCTAATTCCTAGTGGGAGCACCCATGTTCCCTAACTGTTGTAACCATCCCATGTTTTTCCACTGTTGCTTCTGCCTTTCTTCTTCAGAAAAACTGTCATTGTGGGGGAAAAGCCAAAATAGCTAAATAAGGGCCTGAGTCACATGAAAACAACAGTAAACCATGGGAAACTATGATTGGATGGTTGTTAGGTTGTGCAAACTCAGCCAGCTTACCCACAATGGGTTTTTAAAATTATTTCAAGAAGCCACAGTAAGAACCCACGGGCTCTTCTAAGGCTTCTTCACCCACGGTGCATTGTCATGTTCTTTGGTTTCCCCAAAGGTTAAAACCTGCAGGCAGCAACTTGCTCGGCGAGAGCAGCTGCTGGTTTAGAGCATCACAAAAAAGCAACATTTGTGTTGTTGTTTTCGGTTGTTATCTTCCTCTGTTTATGCTCCCACAGAAAGGGAGAGGTGTTGTTGGAATTTTCTGCTTCAGGTGCAAAGATAACTTGGCTTGCTTAGGTACGAGGTGTATTCATTTGGCTTCTATGCATTTATGTGTATAATTTGCTGCTCTGCTTCTGGCAGCAAAATACCTTAGCCAGTCCTGAAAGGCCCTGACTAATCCATGGGGTTACTGCCTATTAACTATGTTTACAGCCATAGTCTGAATGGACTCAAGTTTTGTTTAAAGACCTGACTTTTCTCCCATTTTCCCATTCCCTCTTTTCCCCTTTTGTCTTGATTTTGTGTGTGCTTTTAGGCTCTTCAGGCTATTCAAACCTTCCCGATCAATATGTTTATAACTGGACTGCATGGATTGATGATTGCAGCTGGTCAAACTGCACATACAACAACAGTCACAACGTGTTCCCAGATGGGAGGCCATTTCCCCACCATCGTGACTGGAGAAGAAGGAATTTTGTCTATGTGTTTCACACTCTTGGTTGGTCCTAAAATGCAGCTCAGTACTAGCTTTTTATTCGTTCTTTTCCTTCTTATTATTAATTTAACACTTTGAAAAAGAGTAATGAGGTTTACACATGCCTATATTGCCTGCTATTAAGGATGCTGTGAGATAAACTCAGCTATTGTTATGGGAAAGGACAGTCCAGATACTGCTTTGAGGATACCGATGCTACTTCATTGACTTGTCCAGGTTCTGGAAGTCACACAGATCCCTGCATGCCACTCAGAAAATGTGCAGCATTCCTACTTGAATATAGTGTGTTTATAGCAGAACTGCTCAAAATGACAACCACCTTCAAGAGCTTTGGAGAAGTAGCATACACCTATATTAAGTTTAAAAAATTAAATACACAGTTTTGAAGTAATGCCCACTTGGTACAGTCTGCTACAAAGTCTTGGTGGATCTGTTGGTAAGTTTACTTTAATCATTATGCCAGTGCATTCCCCCACAACCCAGTTCCTTCTGGATGTGCTGGATTACAGATCCCATAAGCCTTGTTGGCCTGGAGAGTGGGAGTTGTAGTCTCAAACATTTAGATAGTGCTGATGTATAGGAAGCTACCTCAATCTGGACAGACCATTAATTCATCTAGCTAAGTAGTGTTCCCCCTGACTGACTCTGACTCTCCAAGTTTCAGGCTGGGTTCTTCCTCCACCCAGTCTGACAATGGAAGGATCGATACAGCGACCTTCTGCAGGCAAAGCAGTCGTTTGACCACTGAGCTACAGTCCCCCCTTTCAGTGTCTGGCTCTCAGGCAGAAGCTTATCCTAGACTTATTTGCAATCCTTTTGATCAGAGGCCGAACGTGGGACTTTCTGCATGCACAATGTCTGCTCCACCACAGAGGTGTGGCCTCTCTCCTTTGTTTTCTATTGCATAACTGTTGCTGGTCTCATGGAGGGCTCTCACCAGTCAAGAAGTTCGAAAAAGGTGCTGTTGTCTCTCTTCAACAAGCACTGAACTGAGAGTGAACTCCCTGCTCTACCCAGATACTGCCCAGTACGGAGCCATGTAGTGGCTAAGGCTTATAATAACACTACCCACACAACTGTAGACGAGTATTCTGGATTTTACTGATGTCTCAGGAAGAACCTCAGTGTGGGACTGGGACTCAGGAGGTCTGGGTTCCAGTCCCCACTCAGCCATGGAACTAACTGGGTGACTGTGGGCCAGTCATAGACTCAGCCCAACTTCCTCACAAGGTTGTTGTGGGGATAAGATTGAGAGAAAGGGAATTAATGTAAGCTGACTTAAGTTCCTTGAAAAGGAAAAAAAGGTGGGAAAATAAATGAACACACACTAATACCCCTTAGAAGGGCTCTTCTAAGCACAAGTGGTTAGAGTTTTGAACGTGGACCCAAAAAACAAGACTCAAATTCAAATTACTGCTCAAGCATGAACTCAACTGAGGTAAGTGACCTTGGTCTAGTTTCTGTCTCTCAGCCTAACATGCCCCACAGAACTGTTGTGGAAGTAAAATGGCAGCATCATTTACACACACACACACACACACACACACCCCGACCCTTCTTATAAGAAGCCCTTAGAGAAGTATGTAATACATTATAGCATTGCATCCAACATGGTATCCATCTATTTTGTACTTTGGATGATGGGCAAGTTGTCAATTCACTTGAATTAATTGTGCACACTTTCAGAAAGGGGAAAAAGGAAGATTGACCACTCCCACACCAATGTCTTCTTTTTCATCTCCTTCCCAATTTGCAGGCCAGTATTACCAAAGGACAGGAGGTTCTTCAGCAATTGTGTCTCTCAACACAACAAATATTACTCTTGGAAAACAAATTATGGAAGTGTCAGTGTACAGAAGGGGTTATCGATCATATGTACCAGTAAGCTCTGCAAGTGTGGTTTATGTTGTAACAGGTACGTGTGCCAATTGAGTCTGTTTGCATCCGTGAGGCTGGCAGAAACATCCACCCTGTTCTGCATGGCCCTCTCACAACATCAGCAACCAAATGTGTGTTAACCAAACTGCACAGTCTTTGGTTACAGCAGGAGAGAAACACAGGCACCTCACCAGTGTCCATGGATCAGTTCTTTGTGAGCCCAAGTTCAAGCTGGCTCTCATAATCCAAACAGTGGAATCTAAGGGAATGTTCCCAGAAACACAGTTCAAGACTTGCAGTGAATAATTCAGGCTGTCCCAAGCATCAGGGATCAGCGATGTACTTGCAAACCGCTTTTGTCTGTGCACCAGAATTTACGCAAGGGTGGGATGATTAGCATTCCTCAGCTGGCAAGCCAACCCTATGGGAAAACTTATCCCATAGATGAAAATGCCACCTGACTGATCGTCCCCTCGCTTTTTCATCCACTGGTGCTGCCTGGAGCCAGTGTTAGGCACAGCCCTTCTCCTGGCCTCCTATCAAGGAATGTTTTTCTGGCTGGGGCGATGCAGAAACTTTTCTTCAGGTTAACTGAGGCTGCAATTAGGCAGGAAGGGAGGGCTGGTCCCCCTGAGCAGGCCAGTCTTCTGTGGGGCTGCTCCCAGCTGCTGGAGCTGCCCTTTTCGGGACCCTAGGTTGGTCTCCTCTCCCTTGCTCTGCCACCAGCAGGAAAGCTTTTATTTGGCATGCAAGCGGGTTTCCTGGTCAGGTTTCAACAGATTGGTGCAATCCAATTCTTTTATTGTTGTGCTTTTAATTGCATTTTAATTTTTTATCTTAGTTCTTAGTTACTGTTTTATTTTTATATTAGATAGTAATTAAGATTTTTAAAACCTGTATCTTATTGTTAGCCACCTTGAACTCAAATTATGGTAAAAGGCAGGATATAGTTTAAACAAACAAACAAAGCTCTAGCCCTGCCTCAGTACCCTCTGACCTTACCTGCCATTCTCACAGCAGCCAGTCAAGGGAGGAGATCCCAGCAAGAATGCATTGTTTTCAGCTATCCCACACAGGGACATTTGCAGGGAACACAGGTTTGTTAAAGTCAATCCTACCATTAGACAGAATGACGTAACCAGTTCAGGTGCTGGTTTGAAGTACCATTAAAAAGAGGCTGATTATTAGTTGCATTTTATTTCCAGGGAAATAACTGTTTTTTCCCCTGCCAAATAATTTGGCCAGCCTTGGATACAATGCACCTTGACTGTGGCAGGGGTGTTATTTACTATTATTATGTTATGCCACTTGAGCAGGAAAATACCTTGGGCCACGTTTGAACTGTCCTCACTGTGAATGTTCCACATGACATGGATTTTGCTACACGGTTGGCTTTTCTCCAGCAAGGATATGGCATTATCTCTTCTGAGGACATTCTAACTCTTCCTTTTGTTTTGGCTTTATGTAATTCACAGACAAAATCCCCTTCTATGTGAATATATCCCAAAAGAATGACCGCAATGCCTCAGACTTTATCTTCATCAAAGATATCCCAATTACATTTGATGTCCAGCTTCATGATCCGTCCAACTACCTGAACCGCTCTGCTATTTTCTACCACTGGAATTATGGAGACGGCAGTGGTGCATTTGTTTCCAACAGTTCTACTTCAATGCACACATACACCCTCCTGGGAAATTTCAGCCTTGACTTGTCTGTCCAAGCCATTATACCAATACCTTGTGGGCCAGTGACACCAACACCACCCCTACCAACCCAGTCAGGTAAAAGTTTGAGGCACTGTGCTAAAGGAAATGAAATTGCTTACCTTATTGTGTGGCTAATTAAGGGGATGTGTGACTAGTTAACAGGAGAATGTTCCATGGCAGTAATTAATAGGTGGAAGGCCAGCTTTGCACATAATACTAATCTGTGGTATATGTTCTTGAATTCTCAGTCATCAGAATGTGTGAATATGGCTGCACTAGCAAGCCATAGTTTGATCATCACAAACAACCTGGAAAGCATACATATGGTTTACTGTTGGATTTTGAACTCTGAGATGTTTAAACCATGGTTGTTTGGTTCAAACCCAAAACCATACACACTGCCTGGGAGATTTTACTAGGTCACAAAAGTGGTAAGAAAAAGCAGTAAGAAACATCTCAGCTACCCTAAATGCCTGTATGACATCAATGCAGTGGTATTTGGAATATAGGGAGGGAACAAGGAGGAGGGAAACAAACAACTCAGGGACTGAAAAAGCAAACCATGGTTTGACTGTCTGCCAGCCTAATCCTGGGTATTGCAACAAACCATGGGTTAAACACAGCATGGGCCAGAGCCAGGCCAAATAATTGCTGCATGCATGTTTACAATACCTTCTTATATTTTTGCAGTGATGCTGGTAGGGGATATTTGGAGTGGGACTTTGACCAAGACCCCCACCCCCCGGATAAGATGGAGTTGAATCCCTTACCTCAGGGGTAGTGAAACTTGTACCCCCTGCTGACAGCAGGGGGTGCTCTAGAGAGCATTGCCCACCACTCTCCTGCTGTGGTGAATGCCGCACAGGGAGAGAGGGCACCACAGCTTTCTGGAGAAGCTGCGCAATGATGCCTTGCTCTAAGGACCCTTTGAAGTGAGGGGTCAGGAGGGCAGGTGGCATGCATTCTGGAGAGCCCCATCACCTGCTTTCCTGCCACAGCAAATGTTATAGAAGGAAAACAACAGACATGTTTCTACCAAGCTGGCCAGACCCAAATGCCTTGTTCTCGGGTGTCTTTCCCCAGAGAGAGGCTAGCATGACAAGACGCAGAGATGTTCTAGGTAGATTCTGTTCATTATGCTCAAAATACTTTGCTGGATATGGAATTGGCTTACCAGTTTCCTCCTCTACTTCCTCGATTCAGCAGTCACCACCCAACTGCCTTCTAATATGACAACTCAGACCACTGTCAGTTTCACAGACCTGCCAACAGGACAGACTCCCAGTGCTGGATGCCATATTACTCGATATGGACCTTATAAATCATCACTCTTCATTGCAGGTACACATCTACATCTCTAAGGGCTTGTTCAGAAGAGGTTTTAATGTTGTGGTGCCTTCCCCACTTGTACAATTCTGCAGGTTACCCATCGCTTGTCATGGTCTTACAGCTGCTTTTTGACTTTTCTCCTCGCTTTGCCTGCATATTTTCCACAACTGATAGGATCCCTATTTGGAGGATCTTGTGGCATTTCTGTAGGGATGTGGTGGTGATGTTTATTTTAATGTTCTGAATGAATTCTGCTCTGCTCTGGAACAGAATTTTACTCCTCTTTTCAATTTATTTTTGGTTGGCATATTGGAAAGTTGATCATTTCCCCCTTATTTTTTATTTTGATGAGGTAGCACTTGAGTTCTTCCAGAGGTACAAAGGCACATTCACAGACTTCCACCAGGACAGTCTTGTGCAAAAAGGTTGTACTTACAGGTGAATTGACTCACAATTCACAGAAGTAGGGATCTGGGGACCAGCATGCAAGGAGGAAGGATGAAAGGTAAGGATGCAGATTGGGGACTTCCATGAGGGCAGGGCAGACTTTAGCATTGTGAAACTTAGCATTTAAACAAAAAACAGAACATAGTGAGCTCAAGAAGGCAACTGTGTGATCCAAAAGAAAGGACGAGGCTGTTCCAAGGCTGCTTGTGATGGAAAAGCAAATTCTCCACAAGCAAACCCACAGCATCCAGTGTAACAACCATAACTGGCCAAGTTACTTGGGCACCTGAACCAGAAAATCCCACTAGGAGTAAAATTACAGTGATAATACATTAAGAGCACAAGCATACGCATTTTAGACAGAAAAAAATGCTGTCCAAATATGGCTGGCTTGACCATACCATGAGCTGTAGAAATTTTTTATGTCTGGACATGCATAGGATTGTGCCAGAAAGGAGCATCAAGAGCCTCTGATGCGGGAAGCTCTGCTCCATTATAACCTGTGAGTAATTCTGCTTCCCATAACACCTTTTTGGGAAGGCAGCAATTGACTGGGTTCACCCATCCTATGTCTGCTTTTGCTCTCAAGTGCAGGTTAGGGAGAAGCAAGTCTTCAAATATATTTCTTCTTGCCATGGACTAAATGTTTTGCAGGGACAGAAGTTCAGAAGCCATTGGGTTCACTGGATCCATAGTCTTTCCTTCCCTCCAACTCGCATACCCACCTCACACATGCTTCTCTTTTACCTAATGTCAGAGGTCTGACCTCAGGAAGTTGTGGAAGCCACTTTGGAAGTTTTCATGATTGAGGGGAGACACTTGGAAGGAGTGGAGCGGAGTGGAGGTGGAGTGCGGTGGAGGTGAGGATCGATAGTGGGAGCTCTCTCTCCAACCTTGGAGGAGGAGATCCACTACATCCTATGATCCTGGAGTTGCTGCCTGCAGACAAAAAGATTACAAGCAAATACCTAACAATTTGCCTTTGTTGTTGCTCAAAAACTGCTGCCTGAGGCAGCTGCCTCACTCTGCCTAATGGTAGGACTGGCCCAGAGGAAGAATATTGTTTTAGTAGGTAACAGAAAGTAATTTCAACATCATTATGTTCCTAAAAAGGCACTGCTGTTGTAGACTCACCATGCAAGAAGCAACTTTTAGAAGAGTAGACTTTGTAGCATCAGTAAAGGGATGTTTCTGTAGTTAGGACATTACATCCTTTTTTCAAAGGCCAGGCAAATATTAGGTGCTGCAGCCAATGTTTACTCTCCATGAGACAAAAGAGGTTTTTTTCAACAGGAGGATCCCTTCCATCAGTGGAAGAGTCCTTTCTGACAAAAATCCTGGCATTCACAGAGGGGAGTCTCTGGATCCAGCCATACAATTTCTGTCCTACATTTTACCAGGCAACCTTTCCAGTGTGGCAGCTCTATATAACCCCCTTCTACAACATTTCTGCAGTGTTGTTGTCTTGCCATATATTGTGGCATTGTGCAAGCAGAGCAAGTGATACAACCGCACCGAGCAATCCTTTGATGGCTCATGAATTCAGGCTAAGTCCTTCTGAAAATGAGATTGGTGCTCCATTGACTTCAACAGAATTAATATCTAATGTAAGAGTACTTAACTCACTGTTCTAAACATATTGACATATAAATCCTATAGATTGCAAAATTCTATAAAATAAAATATAGATTAACCAGTTAATTGGTCAGTGTAATCGCAAGTGTCTAAACTCTTAAGTCTCTCAAGGCACAATTCCAGGCATGCTGGGATAGGAAAAAGTAGGGCATTTTCTGTCTGATTATCTGGAGTACAATAATTGCATTCAGTTACTATTAAACTACAGTAGAAGGCAAACACTTATTTAGTATTATTTCTTTATGATAGTCTTTAAATGACTATCCTATGCTGCCCCATAACTTAAAGTTCTCTGGACTTAAAGTTCTCTTACACTAAATAAACAGAAAAAGCAATATAGATACAAAATAAATAATGGATAACATGCAAAAGCATAAACTGCAAGAAGAACAAAACCCTAATAGATTTAATAAGAATTTAAGAAGCCAATATGTAATAAGATGTCATGTATTTGTGTACAGTTCTGGGGGAAGAATTGGAATGCTTAGTCATCATTAGTAACTACTAGTAAATTCTCCTGAAGCAGTTTTCAGATCCAGTGAAGATCATGCTAACCATTTGCTGTGGTTCCAAATGTATTATTTTGTTTGCCAACATTCTTGTCTTTGAAATTCTGACATTTTGTCAACTGCTTTCTTTTGCCAGAGGGGATCCTTGGGGTAAATATTATCCAAATGACAACTGTCCAGGTGGAAACTTCTCAAGCTGAGAACTCTATGGTTGATTTTACAGTAACCTGTCAAGGGAGGTAGGTTTGCCATCCATTTTGCTCTCATAAGGCAAATACTGGAGTGTCTCCAGTGCCCAAGTTGTTCACTGCAGTATTCATCTCAGTTCACTAAAGGTGCCTCACATAAAAGAGCAAATAATACCAGTGTGATTGAATGTCTATAAATACTTCGGTATTTCCTGTTGGCATACTGATATTGGGCAAGAAGACTGGATTATACCGCTAACATAGCTTAACTTTTGCTGGCCTGATGCCTTCCTGATATTTACAGCCCTCAAAACTTCTAACCATTGGACATGCTAGCAGGGGATGATGGGAGTTGTAGTCCAGCACACCTGGCAAACACAAGGTTGGAGCAGACCAATGTAACTGAATCATGCAAGTTCGTAAATAGTAAATTCCCCAGGCGTATTTTCAATTCCTTGACTGTCTATTTATGAATTCTCAAGGGGAAGTCAGCAACTGTGTGCAACCAGGCAATTCTGGGTTATTTTGAATGGCTCTGCAGCCCGTCTCATCATCACTGCACATGTGCATGTGCTGAAGGACTTTTCCAAATGGATCTTGGTACAGTTTTTAAACAGGGAAAATTAGTCTTCAGGAGGGGTAAATTATTCAAGAAAGCAGAGGGCACATTACATATTGTTTTGTTTTTTAAATAAATCTTTAATTGTTTAATTTCATTATAAATGATCATAAATAATTTTGTGTTATGGAAAACAGTATAGGAATGTTTCAAGTAAATGAACTGGCTTGCATGGTGTGAACTGTGAAAAATCCATTATTTTTCCATCTTTCCTCCCATGCTGTAGTCTCCCTACTGATGCCTGTACCATCATTGCTGACCCGACATGCCAGGTGTTGCAGAGTGAGGCATGTGACCCAGTCGACCTTGCTGAGGAGTGCCTGCTGACCATAAGAAGAGCCTTCAATGAATCTGGGACATATTGTGTAAACATCACATTGGGTGATGCAACCAGCCTGGCTCTTACTAGTACTCTGATCTCTATCAGTGGGGGTGAGTCGTCATTGAATGATGCAATAATATGCAAATAGGGGCTGTTTACATTTTAGGCTCATAGTCAGCAAATAGTGGTCTTTTGGCTGAATCTGGCCCTTCATGTTGTTTAAAGATAAGCAACTTCTGTGGCAATAAAATTGGCAGCAAGGCATTTTGGGGGAGATGTAGCTTTGGCCAACTGTCATCCATTCTTTTGCAAAGTGCCTCTCTTAACTACTTGCTGACAAGTCATATATGTCATGTGAAAATCTGGCCTTCCTGTGAATTCATGGTATTTCAAAAGAAGTTATTTTAGTCTACAGTGGATTGCTTAGCATTTGGAAGGATTCTTCTCTGTGTAGGTATGAGTTACTTTCACAGGTTCTCAGCCTAGCAATGGTGAACTTTCTGATCTCAGCACAGAAATAATTATTTATGAATCAAGTACTGTGAGAATGTGGGAGACTGTTCATGGTTTTATTAACTTGATATGAGCTTGTGCATGCTGTTTCCATTTGGGTTATTTCTAGCTGCCTTCCTTATAGACTTCAAAAAATAATGAGTAAAACTAGGAAAGGTTAGGGATGGGAATCAGATTTAATTGCACATGTAATCATGGCTAATTCAAGTTCCACTTCTTTCAATGGGTATACTTTAAGTATGACTAAATCTATACCCAAAATTAGAAGACTAATAAAGCCAAGCAGGATAGCTTATGACTGTGCAAGCAACAGACCACAATGAACTTCTATTTTCTATTTAGGAGGCTTTCACAAGCAAAGAACTGAAACATTATTAGAATTATTTACTTTCCAGATGTGATGGGAAAGGGCTGAGTAGTTTGTTGTAAGCGGATAACTGCCTTTTTTACTTTAGTCAAATGTTGTGCCTTCAGCAAAGGTTTCAGACTCAGACCTTAAACCTCGTTGGCTGGATAAGCTACTAGCTTACCCACCGCAAAGGAGATGAACTGAATGTGGGGATGCATTACTGTTTTGGGTATTGAACTGACTAGAAATTAACTGAGTGGTTCCCTATACTGCAGAAGTTCCTGCAGGGTGATGGTTCCTAGTACGTTGTGCAGCCAATTGTGGCCGCTCTTACTTAAAATGGGGAGGCAACAGATACCCATGGTCAGGAGTCTAACGGGGCCTGTGGTGGCTGCAGGCTTTCCAGGGCGGTTGGGCAATGGGCCCCTCCCTTAGCGGGTTTCCCTTCTCACTGTGGTTGCCACCAGCTGCTATCACTCCTCACTGTCCTTTTGTCGGGGCCACTGCTGCCTTCCCTGGATCTTTGCCTGTCCGGCAAGGGAGCGCATGGGCCCTGTTGCTACTGCCGCTCCTTTCCGTGACCACGACCATTTCCATGGGCCACAGGGAGAGGCGAATGAAGCAGGCGGCAGAGGCAAGCAGGACCTGCAACTGCAGGAGCAATGCTTGCCAGTGGCCACCTGCTAGCTGTGGACCCCTGGCCAGTGCCCAGCCATCCCTGTCCTTGACTCCGGAGGGCCGCATAGCTGAACGCCTCTTCCCCAGACACGAGCGACGACACCCGTGCTGCACATGCCCAGTGATCCCTGGTACCAAATGCTGCCTGCATTCAGGGTGATGCGTGGGGCAAGAGGCCTTTAGGTATTAGGCCCATCGTGGGAGAGCTAAATGCTGCTGTGAGGAAGGGATTTTTGCACCTTCTCCAGCTGCACCAGGAAAGAAAGGCAGGACATAAATGAAGTAAAATAAATCATGCAGCTCTGTACTCAGTGATGAATGGGAGTTAACGACTGTTGTTTTTCCCAGTGCTCTGCACCTGTCCATACCTGACTGATTGTACACTTGCCCTGAATATATCTGAAATAAGTTCTTGCCCATACATTTAGCTTCAGAGTCAGTTGGGCACATACAGAAATGTTCAGTGCTGGCCATCTGCCAGTGCTCATCAGGTCGTGCTAGTTGGAATGGCCATCAGTGCAACATAAAGCTCGAGCTTGGTACAGGAATCCTAGAAATTAGCCCAGATGCGCTTTTCCAGATCGGATCGGATCAGATCAGATCAGATCAGTGGAGCTCCTACCTGTGAGCTTGGCTGACATGTTCCACTGTAGAAATGCTAGCTGAGGCTAGTTTCCAGTTACTGTTGCAAGCACCAGTTGTTACTCCTGCTAGCACAATTACACTACTGGATACTGTGCAGAGCTGTGATTTCAGGGACTATCCTTCAAAAGCCAGGCCCCCTTTTGCCAGATGATCCCCTGCCAAGAAAATGTGTTAGCTGTCGTCTCAGCTGCTCCCACCCTAGTGCTGTTGTAGAAAGACACAGTGAACATGGATGCATGAAACACTTGTACAATGCATCCTCTAAATTTACATCTGATTGCTATGATAAGCGTTGCGGACATGTCTTAATAATATTTTTATGTTTATCTTGTTATTAAAGCTCCAGGGCCATTTTCAAGAACAGCAGAAGGTGTCCTGATAGCCTGTGGTTTCTTGGTGGTCTTTGCTGTCGCCTTGACTTTCTTCCTTTACAAGTAAGCTGCTGCCTCCAGTAATCAGAAATAGTGCCAGACTATTGGCAAAACTCTCAGAATTGAAATACTTACTATGCAAACACAAATGTTGACAGCAGGGTGTTCATTTGCACATTGCCACAAAAGAAGACCGAGATTTGCCTAAAAATGCATATGCTAATTTACATGTGTAGATGCAAACTTGAAAATAAATAGAAATACTATAAAAGTAAATAGAAGTGCAACACCTCTAACCATGGCGGGAAAGATTGTGACTGGGTGACCTGGATATGTTGCTTGGGTGTTGATGGACAACTACAAGGCTCAGGTTGCCTTCTGTTGTTCTTTTTTCTTTAAGCCAGCTTTGGCCCAGAAAGCCCTTCAAGGAGATTTTTCAAAGAGAGGACTGTGCTCTGTCAGTAGGCACATGGGCCTCCCCTTTGGCAGCACAGATTTCTAGTTGTTTTGGAAAGAGGTTTCTGCAGGGAAAATGATTCACTTTATTTTTATCTATTTATACCATTTTAAAGCCAAGGCTGGCTCTTAAAGTAGCATGCAGCTAAAATGCTTAGAATGTGTATCTGTGCACATGTGTAATATAATCAGTTTTTACCTGGAGCCGTAATTTTTTTTTGCTAATAATCGTAGAGTTTCCATGGAATCTTTAAAAATACTGACCTTCAGTGCACGAACATATTTTAAAGGAGCATAATATGATCCAAGAATAGGTTTGCTTGTTACTTGCTGAACATAATGCACCCTTGCAGGAGGGCTTTTCAGTAAATTAATTCTGAAAATTTCTTCTAGGCGATATAAAGAATACAAACCTATTGAGAGGAAAACAGGACAAGAGGCAACTAGTGAAGGATTGAATGTTTACTTCAACAATGTCAAGGCTGTTTTCTTCCCTGCAAACAATGAGAAAGATCCTCTGCTAAAAAGCAAGCCAGGAATTGTCTAACTCTTCAGTATAACCTCTTATATTTGCATAAACCTGGGCTTTACATTGAACTGTATTTCAATGGAAGAATACGTTAAGTATTAAAATTATGTGTTTAGATGGTGAGCTTGCAGTACATGCAGGGAAGGGAAATGGCTGTTCAATTCATATGGAAATATAAAATGGCATCTTGTGGAGAAATGGAACATTAAACTTGCTTATGTTCTCAAATGTTATACTATATTAGCGAATAATAAACCTATAAAACTTGGTATTAATATACAGCTTCTCAGATTATTTACTCCTGCGAGTGTGTATTTGGTAGTGGAAATTTTGTCTGAGGTATTTAGGGTCAGGCTGAAAGCTAAAGGCATTATGTCTCACTGAACTTGGAAAGGATTGTTTCTGTGCAAAAGCATGCCGAGGACTGTGTTGTTAAACTGGAAATTCCTTTGTTCTAGGAGGATTTCGAGGACTGTGTTGTTAAACTGGAAATTCCTTTGTTCTAGAAGGATTTGTGCATTCCAGCTTCAGTGTGGCTTGTTAGAAAACCAGGGTAGGCATCTGTTAAAATGAGACACTTGGATACAATTTATTCCAAAGGCTCCAACTGGACAGTCATATACACATAATTCCCCAGTTAGTTGAAAAACTGGAGTTTGGTGACAGTGTTCATCCTCTGAATAGTTCACAACACGAGACACAAGAGTCTCTTGTCTGTGCCAAGTGGAGTAGTAGCCAGTGCTTAGGATACCCATGGCTTCACTACCCAGTGATGTATTTGCCTACACCTTGTTTGGGGACTCAGCTGTGTTCATTCAGTGTGCACCTGTAGTCTAGGGCTGGGGTGGGGGGCATGTCTTTTTTTACAAGATCTGCAACCAGAACCTGATGCAAAAGTTATACATTCTAAATAATTCTGAATTCAGACACGTTTGGTTGCCAGTCCTTTTGTACAAAAATGTGCTCGTTATCTCAAGCTTTATTTCAACACTGTAATTTAGTGGTGAGATGCTGCTGATATTGTTAAATCTGGGGAGTCAGAAATCCTTGCCAAGGTACTATGAATCACCAGAACTTTATCAGAGTAGCTAATCTACCTTCTGCTCACACCAGCCTGGTCTATATGCCCCTCAGGGGAAAGTCCACTTCCAGAAGCCCAGTCACACAGGCATAAAGCTAACAGTAGTGCAAAGATTAGAAATATATAGTTATATATAAATATATAGTTATGTCTAGAGAAGACCCCCTGAAGTTAGGAAGACTTGTCTCCTCACTTATTTATTACCTTTCTATGCTGCCCAGTGACTGAAACTCTATAGGCAGTTCAGTTTTTAAACCATACAATACAGGAATATAACTAGTCCCATTTATTTCATTGGGACTGCTCTAAGAATGACTAGATCTGGATTGAACCCTATGGTTGGTAAACACACTATAGCCAGGAGAATTTGCATGGTTTACTTCAGAAATTCTTGCACCTTACAGTTGTATCGGTCTTTTAATAAAGCAGCACAGAGATTTGCCTGCTTTTCTACCAAGCTGGAAAATGTATAAAGATTATTTTATTAACTATACTGAATACTATATTTTTAATCAGAAATTATTTGATCCCTGTTCAGTCTGCTTAGCTGTTCACCTGGGAATTCCAGTGCTTTGTTGAATCCTTTGTCAGCACAAGATTTACCAGAGGCATTTAACCTTTGAGTGCAAATCCCTCCCTTTCTGTGGTGGTATAGGTAGCAAACGGAAGCTGAAAAATTCCCAAATCGGGGCTCTTTAGATGGCCAAGTATATTGTGTAAGTAGTGAACCACACAATCCTCACCCCTACTACCATTCTATGCTTTACAACATGTATGTTAGAAAAAGAATGAAAAGAAGTAGAAACACCCTGAACAGGTTTACTTTTTCTGAAGTCAAAATGTAAACTATATTAGATTACAATATAGTTTGTGTATGTTGACCTGATGCTGAACACATTTACCTAAGAATAGGCATAATTTTGTTTAGAACAAGAGGATACATTTTTAAAAGTAAAACTAATATGGGTATTTATAAGCATGTGACATTCCCAGGAGGCTGCCACTTGACTGTAACATGTTTTCAAGGATAACAAGAAAGGATGCAGTCCCAATAGCCCCTGGTTGGCCTAGGTGCTGACCCAAGGGGCTCTTTGCTGCTGACTTTACCAGCTGCCACTCTCTGGACATTTGTACAGCAGGTCTTTGGGCTTCAGGCCCTCAACTCTGACCAGGTCAAGTTCCAGGTCAAGCTGTATCACTGAGTGGGTGAAATAGGACTAACTTTACTCCTTTTGCACCATTTCTCTCTCCTGCAAAGAATTGTTACAGGACAGGGAGCAAGAAAGAGGACTAAGAGTCTTCTCTTTCCTTCCTTCTCCCACTTTTAAAACTGACAATGGTGCCCAAGGACCTAGAGGTTCATTTCACTCTGCTTCATTGCAAGATTCAAACTTGTTCTCATGCAGTTTATCCTGACAGTGTTACCCATGCTGATTGGTGATGCTTTGAGTTGTAGGGTCTTTTCTGTTTAAGCATGCATAGGAATGCACCTTAATTTTGATATTTTTTTTTAAATGGGTTAAATGCATGCTTGTTTGGGGCTGTAAATTTGCCAAAGAATATCCAAGATGACTAGAAATGTTCTATAATGTTTGAAATAATTTTGGAGGAGCATCATTGGAAAAATGAAGAGTAGGCAGTAAATTGTGCATGGAAAAAACTTTAAATTTCAGTTATGGGAAAATTTTTCAAAGAGGTCAACAGATCCGTCTTCTGCACAGTACATACCAACATTTCCTCATTCGTCCTGATATCTGACTCTGATCATATTTGAACAGAGGTAACACTCCTTGTGTAAAACAAACCCCTCCTTCATTGCCCCCATCTTTCACTGTCTGCATAGTTCATTCCAAATGCATGGGTCTTCAAATGGGATAGTTGGTACCTTGAGGATTTCAAACAGGTACTTTTTTGAAAGTAGTAAATACTGTAAACCATGACTACGGTTGGTAATTTTAAAGAAAAACATCTTTATAGTGCAAAGAAAAGTTGGAAATTAGTAATTAAAAGCATTCCTCCAGGGTGCTCAAAATAATACACAATGTAATCACAACAATCCAAAAAAAGCAGAGAAATCTTTTAAAACAGTCAAAATGCAATTTTAAAAGCCGGACATCTGGTGAAGTATTACGATTCTGCTACACAGATAACTCTCAGCAGGGTGGAGGCCACTTGACATCCCTTGGGAAGCAATGTCAGTTACTCTCCTTTTTTCTTAGGCAAACAGCCCCAAATACTTTTGTGGGACTAGTCATGCTGCATCTGATGAAGCGGCCGAAGGTCACCAAAGCTGATGCCATAACACATCCCTAAGTCTTTAAAGGTGCCCCCATCTACTTAAATATACAATTGTTGCTGTTTCACAGTTTGAATGCTGCCATTCTATTGTGAAGCATCTTGGGTCTTTTAAAGAACTACAATAATTATTAGCCATTACTGGCATTATCATTATTGCTGTCTTTCTAACAGATGTCAAACGTGAGTACCCCAGCATTACTAACGGGTTAAAACAGACTCTCCCTGTCCAGGAAACAGCGCGCCACACAGCGGGGACGGAGAAACATCCCTCCCTCCCGTCTTTTAGCGCAGCTTTCCAAATTGCGCGTGCGCCTGCCGTCTGGGCTGTCACGTGCAGCACTCGGCCAACCAGCATGGCTATCTGCGTTCGCACCAGCCAACCAGAGGTGAGAGGGCGTGTCGCGGAGACAGTCTGTTTTGGAACGTTGGCCATTTAGAAGTTCCTCAGAGCGTCGGGGGTTCTCCTGGCGGAGAGGCCGCGCCGGGCGCCATGTGGCGAGGGAGCCGTTGTTTGCGGACTTTGCTGGCGGTGAAGTCGTGGGGAGCTGAAGCCGCTGGCGTTCCCAGACGAGCGTGGAAACTGGGCAAGGCTGGACACAGGGAGGCGGCGGCGGCGATTCCTCGCGTCCCCTGCCGGAGCGCTTCGTTAGTGTTGCGGAGATTGAGTAGCGAAGGGATCTCTGAACTGCGGGACGAAAGGGGCGCCGCCGGAGAGGAGCAGCAAGATGGGCAAGGAGCGGGTGGAGCTGGGTCGGGCTTTCCGTCTGGTAAGAACCTCAGGATCCAGGTCAGGACGGCCACCTCGTGGCCACAGTAACCGCTTTCAGTAGAGCTTTTCGGCAGGATACTGTCGTAATGCAGTTCTGCCCGCCCAGTTCTGAGTTCTGCTCAGGTGAAAGAATCTTGTAACTTCACGTGAAGCATCTGCTTTGCGTGCAGGAGGGTCTGCGCTCTACCCTGGCGTCTTCAGGAAGGTCGAGGAAAGGAATCCTTTAGACTCGCCGCTGGTCTGAGCTTGGTGTAAGGCGGAAAGACCTGGCACTTAAGAAAACAATGAACAGAAATCCCCTTCGAGCTTTACCTCTTGTGATGCGAAGAGAACCACCTTCTCACCTTTTGCATCTTAAGCAATTTCTCTTTCTTGACTGAGAGTGAATCCCAAGGGTACATAGGCTTCCCTAAGATGGTAGAGGCCAGATCTTTGAGACTACAACTATCTGTGTTCATTACCACTAACCGTGCTGGCTAGGGTTGATTGGAGTTGAAGTTTAGACCATCTGGAAGGCACCAGCTTGGGGAAGTCTGAACTGCACAGAGCATCTGCCTCCACCTCTGTGACAGGCACATCTGCACCACTCAGAGGATACAGTGGAGGGGTGGAAAGCACACACGTGAGGATTGCAGGGAGAAAAGCTGTGGGGTTGCGGTCATATGAGTTTGGCAAAACGAATTTTGGCAATGTGTATTCCAAAGGCCTGGGTTGGGCATTATGGTAGCTGTCTGTAAACCATGGCTGCAAGTCAGGATTTTATCTCTGGAATTTCCTGTGTATTCTTTGTTGGTCAGAAGCCTGTTCTTATGTTGCAACTGTGCTTATGTGAATGATAGTTCCTGTCTTAACCAAGATTAGAAATAGGATTTGAAATAAGATACCAAACCTTGGATAAGAGGGAGCCTGTTTAGTGTTAATACAAATGTTATGGTAAAGCAAGGAGGGGCAACTCCTGGTCCACCAAATTTAGAACTCTTTTCAGCCCCAGTTAGCATAGCCAGTAGTAAAGGAAGGTGGGAATTCTAGGCTTGTAGCACCATCTTGGGGGGAGGTCCCACAATTTGCCCATTCCATTTAAATATGGATAATGTAAGCAAAGGAAAAACTGACTTTAGTCTGCAGACATGGGAGTGGATCCAGGATCTTCCCTCTGCAAGAGAAAAGGCTCTACTCACAGGATGTCCGCTGACCTAATTTGGGGGGATGCTCCTTCCACTCACACCACAATGCAACCAATCCAGCAGGGCCTTCAGACCCCTGGATCTCATTTGCGTGACACTACAGTACACCATGGCTTAATTTATCCATGGGTGCTGTTGTGCTGTGCCCCTTTTTTTGTGGTGTCTGAGTTGCCATGGCTGGTCGTGTCTCATAAAGTCAGGTAGCAGGCAATGTTAGAGAGTAAGGCACAAGTTAAATAACTCTAAAACAAGCCATGGGTTATTTGAGGGTTGTCTAACCTTCCCCCACTGCCGGGTTTGTACAAAATGGCAAACTATGAGCCTACAAAAATGGCGCTAGGAGGTGTTCTGCACAACATTGGCAATTGCTACAAATTAATTAACCCTGCAATGGGCTCTTGTGTCCCATGAATTAGAAGTTGGTCCAGCTTAAATCTGGACCATTTGCAGTGCATCATTTTCTAGGAGCCGGTATTATGTTTGCACCAAGCTGTAATGTAACAAATATTACACCTAAATGAGGGAAATTAACTCACAGTAACAGACAAGTAATTACATCATCCAACCCTGGGTTTTGTCTTATCTTTATAATTATCTTTTATATTTTTACCACATAATTTGATTTTGATAACCTGAGTATTGTTTCTTTCAGAACTGCTTCCGTCAGTATTCAGCATTGACCAAATGGTATCACTTTTGAGACAAGAACATGCCCAAGATATTTGTGTTATCCAGTTGCCTCCAGAAATGAAATACAGCAATTATTTTATCATTGTCAGTGGAACTTCTACAAGGCACCTCCACGCTATGGCATTTTACCTGGTAAAAATGGTACGGCAAATACTTCCATTCTTCTTAGATTTGAGAATAGAATGGCAGTGGATAGCTTAGGGCATTTAAACCTTGTCAGAGCAGGTCAAAGGCCCATTCTGCTCACATAGTGGCCACCCTTGAATGTTCCAAAGCTGATGGCTTCCGATTTGTGTGAACTGCAGGCAAGCAGACTTTTGCAGCATTTAGAAGTGTATATGTTTACTCCTCTGGAGAATGGAGGGATTTTGTGTCTGTATCATTACATGTATTGCTTCTTGGAGATGAGACAGACATGTTTCTGTAAACAAGGACTATTTATCAAGGATTGCATGCAAGACATTCTTTTAAAAACTTACCAACATTGAGCATTTTTTTTCTGTTCAATAGGAAAACATACACAAATTTCATGATTACGTATTTCTGTATCAAGAAAGAAAATGCTCAGATTTAGTAGAGTCATGTTCTACTTTTGTTTACTTGAATGCAGACAAAGGGAAACAAAGATGATGCATAAGCCTTCCTTTTTCATTGCCAACAAAAATATAATATCTTAGAAGGGACTTGCTTACCTGGCAAAGTTGAACTTTTTTGTTAGGACAGGGAAAATATTTGCAGATTTCATGCAAATAGGATGTAGAGCTCCAAATTGGAGCGGCAGTGATTGGAGCAGGTTCTGCAGCATGGAGCCCTGCGATGTTGGCTGTATGACCAGTGGAGACAGGGAACAAACCACAGTAAGCCCAGTCACTTGTTCGAGTTAGCATGGGCTGTTCTCCAGATGGAGTCTCCAGTGAATTTATCTTATTAGCATGATGCATTGTTAGGTTGTATGAACTCACCTATTCGGCAGACTTCTGAAGGTGCAATGCAGAACAGCCATGAGGAGAGACTGAGAGAACTGGGCATGTTCAGCCTTGAGAAGAGAAGACTGAGGGGGGACATGGTATCCCTCTATAAGTAGAGGAAGTCACAAGAGAAAGGTCCGGATTTCTTGCTGATGTGTAGGACACAGAATAAGGGGAAGCTGCAACAAGCCAGATTCAGGCTAGATATCAGGAAAAGTTTCCTCGCTGTCAGAGCAATCCGACAGTGGAACCAGCTCCCTAGAGAGGCAGTGGGCTCTCCCACACTAGAGACATTCAAAAAGAAACTGGACAGCCATCTGGGTGGAATGGTGTAAATTGGTGTCCTGTAACAGCAGGGAATTGGACCCGATGGCCTTCATCACCCTTTCCAACTGTTCTTGTTTGTTGTTGAGTCGCTAAGTCATGCCTGACCCATCACAACCCCATGGACAACATTCCTCCAGGCTCTCCTGTCCTCCACCATCCCTTGGGAGTCCACCCAAGCTCACACCCATTGCCCCTGTGACTCCCATCTAGCCACCTCACCCTCTACCACCCCCTTCTTCTTTTGCCATCAGTCATTTCCAGCATCCTTCCAACTGTACCGTTCTATGATTCTATCTCGTCTTGGTTTCTTCTGTATTTCTCTTGTGCGTAACAGGCTGGTAGTACTGGGGGAAGTACTGTAGCTTCCAGATTCAGTTGCTGGCATTTGCAAGTAGGGCATGCAGAGTTGTGTCTCTAATCTATGTAACAGATCTCACATTTATTGGCTGGAGACCAATGTGGTACTATTGGTCCTAGTCCTAGGAATAGAAATAGTAAGTATAGACGGAGCTAAATGACTTGGGAACAGCACATACTGTCTCAGATACTTTCAAGATGGAATATATATTGGGACACATGAGTCAACAAAGAAGTTGGCCATTAAATTGACCTTATTGGAATGCATAATTAGATTCTAGTAGTTTCTGGTCTCTTATACTTGGGATATTAGCATTCAAGACTATGACTCTTTACACTTGTTTCTCTTCCAGCACAAGCATTTGAAGACAGACTCTGATCCTCATGTTATACTTGAAGGAAAAGATTCCGACAACTGGCTGTGCATAGATTTTGGTAAATTATATTCTCATTGGTAATATAGTAGAACCAGAACCAGGAGGAGAGTGGAGAATGAGTAGAAACTGGTTGAGCATATTGTCACAATAGCTTTTTTCAATAGGAAAAAGTGACTTCTTGTCCCCAAAAAATCTGCTGTTATGTGTTTTTAGAGTACAAGGAGAATTTTACCCAGGATCTGTCCTGTACAAGAGGAAAGGCTCTTCTTGAGAAAGTGCCCTCTAAGTTTTGGGGATCCCCCTCCCCATAATCCCCGACTCTGTGTAGCATTTTCTGGAGACTGGAGGGACTGCTGTGAGGAGGAGACAGGGAAGTCCATTTCTGTCAGTTCGGTTGATCCAGTGTCAATCTGGAATTAAGCCCATGGTATCTTTGCCATGTTACGTTGGCCCAGCTGTTGGTGTACACCATCCAGATACCTGCTCTGATACAGTATGCAGCGGGATTATGCAATTATTAGATAAATAAAGATCATATTAGCTGAGTATAAGGATCAGATGTAATGCACACAGGTAGATACTAATATCACTTCCACTTTAAATGGTGATCTTAAGTAGGCTTTTTGTTTGTGTTCCAGTTGCCTGGCTGGAGTTGCAGTTTTATGATTACAGTCAGTGCCTCCTCTGTTACTTCACTACTTTAAACACAGATTACATCTTAGTATCTTTGATAGCCAGTTAATGCTGTCAAACAATTTAAATAATCCAGTGATTTAATTTTAATCCCTGGTCCATGAGAGTCGCCATCTCTCTAATTACCCACCTGGGTGCAGCTTGTTAGATCATCTGACACTGAGGGGATGGGGAAGTTACTTGATTGGGAGGCTGTGATTGTGTAAACCAGGTCATTGAGCGCCAGAGCATTGGACTGGGGAGAGTTAGGTTCTAGCCTAATCTTGGTGACTTTGAGTCAGTTGGTCAGATGCAGCCTAACCTACCTCACAGGGCTGTTGTAAAGATAAAAAGGAGCTATATAAGCTGTCTTGGGTTCCTTTTGATCTAGGTCAAGTTCAACTGTGATCACCAAATGGATGGATGTACCAAATACGATACTGGCTTACTGTGCTTTTTCTCACTGGCAGGCAATATTGTGATCCATTTCATGTTGCCAGAGACACGTGAAATCTATGAATTGGAAAAGTTGTGGACACTTCGATCCTATGATGACCAGTTGGCACAGATGCTCCCAGAATCCTTGCCCGAAGATTTCATACTTGGACTAACTTCTGAACAGCAGTGATACTTTAAATAGGGCAAAACAAACCTATTTTGCATGACTTGCTGGGGTTGCGGTGGTAATTCTGGAAAGCTACAACAGGAAGAAAGGCAAAAAAACCCCCTTTGACTCCAGAGTGGCCCAGAACTTGGTAGCAGAATACAGCTGTATAATGAATATACAGCACACAAAGAAGGAAAAACTTTTTGTCTCAAAAAGCATATTCTGGAAAGGAGACTTGAATCAAGCAGAAATGAACTGGTAGAAAACCTAATAGGTGTTTCCTCAAAGTATGGGGTTTCCTGTATCACATTGTTTTTATCCTAAACAATAATTGTTGGGTAGCACAAGTGTTTCTTGTTGTGTTGCTGTGCTAATGATTTTTCAGATGAAACCCAAGTCTGAAAGGCTTGATAGGCATGGCTTGATCAGCACAGTGGCTAAAAGCAAAGCAAACAGAGCTATTTTGAAATGGTTCTGAATTAATTTCATTTATTAACCTTAGGTATACTTTTTATACTGTTCCTACAGGCTATTCCTACAGCTGTTCCTATAAACAAGGTTCAGCACATACCAAGCAAGTGGCAGAATCTGAAATGAATGAGCAGTTTATCTGCAAAGTGTCTTACAAGTTGGTCACAGTGGGTCACTTATCTTTCTGCCTGTTTCACAGCTGTAATAATTCACTGACCACTCAAGAGCATCTGCTGGCCAACTTGCTTCAGGATGCAGAGGTAGAACAGACCCCTGTGCTGCTGTTACTGCCCTAAAACAAAAGCATGCCATCCTTGCTATTCACACACTCACCCCCTTTACCTGTACACCCATGCACATCCAAGTTTTACACACCCTTGCAGTTGGAAAGCATTTTCCAAATCTTACTGCAGTGGAGGGTTGATGTGGGAATTACTACTTTTCTCTGGCATTGGGTTTGGAAAGGCTTTGCAGGCTAAACGGCTTCATGTACTACAGGTTTTTCCCAATTGTGCCCTGTATGTGGCAATCTTGTCTATGATTAACCATTTTACATTCCCTGTCATAACCATTGTCCAATCCAGTACTCACAGCAAAAAATCAAAATAATCGATGCATTCTAATATATTCACCTGAATACCAGAACTAACTTAAAAGTGTCAACATAATCTGTGAAAGCTTGTTTGGTTGCAAGTCACTGTCTGTTTAGAATGAAGTTCCTGGAAAAACATTTGAACAAGACAGTTAAGCTCTATTGCTGTATGCACTTACCTGGAAGTAAGACCCAGTGAACTTGGTAGGAGTTATTTCTGAGTAGTTGGTAGTAGGCGGCATATAAATGGAAGAATAAATAAATAAAATGATTGCATTGCAAGTCTGAAGAGAGGAGCTTCACTCTGCTGAAATGTGTGCCCAGTATCCCCCCTGCAAAGTTTTTGCTATACAAAAGCAACTGCAGTGCTTCTGATACATTTACTACTGCAGAACTATAACCTATCTGTATAATCATGTCTGCAATAATGAGCCTGTTAAGTCTCCCTCCCTTCAGTGCCTTAAGTAAGATTAATACACAACAGCACACTTGTGCTCTCCTGCAAGGTAGCTGTATTTCAAATTGCACAAAGCTAAACAATGTCATGCCCAGCTATTAACAGTGCAGTTGCTTTAAGACCATAGACATGTAGCAGTTGTGTACAGAATTCTCCAAATAGTGACATGGCAGGCTGTTTTCTTTTCACAGGAAACCAGATACTGATTCTTTTAAGCAGAATTCCTCTATGGAGTCCATTGCATTTTGCTTAAGCCATAGTATTATCCATCCTTTGCTCCTTCACATTGCTGCAATCTGTTATTGTGTCCAGTATGCAGAAAGAAACTATTATAGATGTCTCTTCCAGTAGGCATACAGCTATTTGGCCCTCTGCTATGGTGCAGCTCACTGAGCAGGAAGGCAGTACTACAGGGGGTGTAAATGTGACTCTTCCTTTCTCATGCAGTTTTGCCACAGGTCAACGAGCCATTTGCTTATTGTTGTATCTTGTATTACAGATTTTATTTGGTGGTGGTGTAGAAATGGGTTAGCCTTCACATTTGAAAACATGACTTTATATAAAGCTGGTCTTGTTAGTATACATTTTCCTACTTATACTGTGCATTATCTGCAAAAAAACTATGTTGAGTATGCATTTAAAATTAGGCATAAATTAACCATCAAAATGCCAATTCAGAATACGTCAACATAAATTTCAGCTTTGTCACAAGATGGGGTTCTATTTCTTAGAGATGCTGTAGAGATGCTGTAAGTTCACTATATGGCTTAAAAATTCATTTCCATGGCATTTCCATGTCCTTTCTGCTCCCTGCAGTTGGGCCCTGCTTGGGATACCACAATCGCATTAAAGGATGAGGGTCCAAATCTTGAAGTTGGCCCCAATATGTTTATATCTTTACTCAACCACACACTGAGAGTTGGAACAGCAAGCACTTGACTCCCCTTGCCCACCACCTCTAGGAAAATACCTAGTATATTAAGCAGTATGTGAAGTGTACACCAAGTTTATGCTGAGTTAAAGCCAGCTATAAACTGGCAGATAGGACAGGAGAGGAACCCATATTGCCTAACCCTACATTAATGAGTTGCGCCCAGGCTGAGTTTGCTGACTGCATCTGGATCTAATTCCATGCTAAGTTCTATAAATAATGCATTGTGTAACTAAATTATGGGTGAAGGCCATTCTCACTCAAGTAGATGTCCTCACTAATATATTTTGCTGTATGGGCACAGTCAGGACTGTTTCCACATGCATTGTTTATCATACTGGTGCTCACCTGCCATTCTAGTGTAAAAACCAATAAAGCAACTAGCTAATTCCTTGTTCCCTTACTTCAGGAACAGTAGAGAACTCATCCCCATTATCTTAAATATGTCTTGCTTTTACAACATGGAAAGCAGAAGTGGGCAAACTCATGACTCCTCAGTTGCTTCAGCTTCCAATGCTTATCAACCCCCATAACTGGCCATGCTGGCCAGGGGTGATGGGTATTGTAGACCAAAGCATCTGGAAGTCCACAAGTTTAGCAATCCTGATTACATTATTCATGAACCCAAAAGGCTTATGAATGCTGAGTGTGCTCTTGTGGGAATTTTCTTTTGTTAGCAGTTTCAAGCTCAATCATAGCAAGTTGCGGCTATATTCTGTGTGGCAAGCATCTCGGAACAAGCAGCGCCTCTTGTGCAAGGCTAACTTTTCAAATAAAATTTGGTCTAAATTCTAGCTGTAAATCTCTGAACTGCCATGTTAATCTTGTAGAACACAAAATCATACACATCTTTAATAATAGGAGTTAAACTCTTTATTCCATTCAGAGGCATCTGGCAAGTGAAGCTGCATTGGGGGCACATTACAGAGGAGAAATGCTCAATACTTTTGTGAATACTGAAGTCATTTACAGAATCACGTCCTAGCTATTTCCAAGTACTCCAAATTACCAAGTCTCAATTGAAAGTAAAAGACATGATTTTACCACACTAAAGTCTACAAATTCAAGAGAAATGACAATATTTAAATGAGCAGATGTAAATGCAGCACTTATTTTGTAAAATAAAACTGTTATGGAAAACAAATCAATCTTTTTCCAATATTAAGGAAAAAATGGATTCAGACAACAAAAATTCACACTATGACCTTCTCATACTTCAGTAATTGTAAGTTACTGTAAGAAGAAGAAAAAATCTAAATATTATGTAAAGTACTGTCCAAGAAGAAAATCCATTGTTTCTTTCTGCTAAACTATAACATAAATTTGTGGTTTTTAAACCAATTAGTAAAGAAAAGATGCAGTAAAAAAAAAAAAAAAAGAACAGACCATTTTTCAAAAGTTCTCTAACCTGTACAACAACAATCTTTGGGAAAATGATCTATTCTATGTAGAAATGCCTCTATTTTCATATCAGTCTAAGAGGTAGATCAACAAAATGGTGAAACAAACTTTTGTTTTTGCTAATTGTGCCCCTCAAATCAGTGCAGCATAGCAGTTCCAATCTTCTCATGCACAGAAACATCACAAACAAAAGGGTCCGAGGTAATAGCATGGCTTGCGTACACGGGCAGGCCCGCACGCGCACAGCAGTCTTTATGCACCATGTGTTGCCACATTGTTAAAACTGAGGTAGACTGAAGTTTATTGTAGAAACTTGAATGCATATTACCACAATCATGATTCAAATTACATTCTGAAATTAAAAAAAATAAATTTGGTAAATTTCCTGTGATCCCTGCCTTTTGATACAAAGTTTCTTCCTCTTTTTTTGTGGTTGGTTGCAGAATGTGCATAAATCCTGCTGTATCTTTTTGTAAGCCAAGCTTGAGGTTGTATTAATTCATTTTTAGTTTTAAAAAAACCTTCGAAGTGGCTTAGTCTGGCCCTTAGTAGCGGCTGGATATGTAAACTTAGCCTTTCATTACCTTTAAACTGGATCAAACAGTGTTTGATCTCTCCTCCCCTGCCCAATATTATGGTAACTGAAAACGGTATGAAGCAATCTGCTGGAGAGCAGGGAACCCATGCCTCCAAATGGCTCTAGCAGATCAAGCATCCTATCCAACTGAAGATGAAGCTTGCTCTTTGAAACAGAATGGCAAAGTACAAATGGGCTGCAAATGTTTAAGTGTAGCATTAGTAGGTAGGTAGTGATGGTCAAAGGCACAAAGGATTCATGCATTCAATCAAGTAGTATAAGAAACAAAAATGTCCAGTCTCCTAAAATTTACCCCCAAGTCCCAGCCTCTTGCCATCACTTCCTTGTTCTGTTCCCAACAAAGTACCATCACAAACTTTTTCATCCCATCCGAAAAGAAAAATAATGGCATTGCTGCTATCAGAATGTTGGCATTTGTTTAGGTATCATTTGAACATTCACTGATTCCCCCCCACCCCAAACAAATGATTGTGTTGACACCCTCAGATATAATCTGAGACTATATGCTTCCATCTCACTCCTGTCAGCCAGCAGCTAGAAGCAATCTACTATATTTCTTCCACCTCAATAAATTCTGTAGCACTCCTGGCTGTTGGCTGATCAAATTTTACTTTTTTTTAAAAAAATAAAATGCTCAAGAGTTATTAGCTTTATAAAGTATACAAAAAAAGCAAAAAAAAAAAAAAAAAGCAAAAAAGGAACAATTTCTTACTTGAGGTATTAAATGCCTGAGGTAGTTTAGTAAAATGCATATTTATCTTTTCATGCCCTGGCCAACACCATTAAACACTTCCCTTAGTTTATACATGGCAGTGTTATGTAAAAATGCAACCAAATGTTAAAGAAATCCACTTGGTTAACATTGGGATTAACACTTAACCTCTTTGTCAATGCCCTTGTTTTAAACCCCAAACCCTAACCCACAATCCCACCCTTCAATTGTCTTTTTTTCTTTTACAAGTGGACTTAGAAGAGCAATGCCTTTTCTTTTTAAACCAGTGAACTCAAAAGAGAAAGCTTCATGAAACCAAGGTCTAAAATTGCTGGGGAATAGTAAGAACAATAAAAGAAGACTAACAAGTTTATGTTAAACTGTGAGAATAGAACAAAAGGGAAGTGAAGGGGTTCTTAGTTTAAAGCTGGGTTTTCAAAAGTAAGAGAGCCTAAAGAATACATTCTCAGAGACAGCATGCCACCTGCGGCCTGGTCCTCAAACAAATGACTGGCATGATGAAATGTCTGCATATTTTTCCAACAGGTGCCCAGAACCTGTCTGTTACAGTCTCTCTCTTTGGTCTGGCATCTGTCTCCGATGGGTCTTTCCCTAAACCTTTATTTTCGTCTCTGCTGAGGCTGTCCACTTTGCACTGTCTTTTGCTGCTGTTGCTGCCTTCTTACCTGAGCCAGTATTTCCTGAATTTTTCGCTGGGCAAGCTGCAGGGCAAAGTAATTGTGAGTAGTCAGTTGTAACATTCCCATCATGTCACATACACTTTCATACCTTTTTTTTTTCCTATCCTCCTTTCCCATCCCTGCTTCAGTCTTATCAAGATCTTCTGGACAGTAAAAACCATAAGAATACTCTGTGCACACAACCGATAACAGATTAGCTTTCTGAAAAATGTTGCCATACATTATTTATTATTATTATTAAAATATTTTAGCCTATCAGATTCAAAATACCAATGCATATAAAAAGCCAAGCAAACCAAATTAATTTGATATAGGACCAAATGACTATCAAAAGTTTTTGCCAAAAAATAAGACCTGAAGGGACCAAGCAAGAATTCTAATACAATTTTATAAAATAAAATTGCCCACCACTTCCACACTACCCAGTCGCACTTGAGATGACTGCTCTGCCTGTTGAAACAACCCTATTTTGCTTGGCTATCACATTTTGTCCCTTTGATTTTTAAAAACTTTTTTCAGTTTACAAAAACTGGTTAGAGAGCCTGCATTTGCAATATTCTTAATGCCAGAAATGAGCCAGCATGGCATGGCTTCCCATGGCAGTCCAGTTTTGTGTTTTGTTTTGCACAGTATTTCCCTCTTGTCCTGACTCTGTGGGATCAGCAAAGGGTCAAACTTCCACATCCCTACACTTCAAATGGAAACAATTTACAGGAAAAGGGAACTGTCAAACTGCAACTCCCTTTACATTGGAGTTGCATATGATCCTTCATCCTAAACCCACAGATGCACAAGGCAAAAGGTTAAAGTAGCTCCCTGATGGACAATGAAGAAACAGTAAAAAAGGGAAGGATCTTGCCAAGAAGTGGGTGCTGTTTTTGGAAAACTGCCCCTTCTTCGCTAAAGATCCCTTGCATCTTGTCTTTCAAGGCAAACCAGCCACTGAAAAGTAGGAAGGGAAAGAGATTTCCAACCTTGGTTGGGACAATGTAGAGAGGGGTGAACCCTGCACCTCTCCACACGATCTGGTTGAAGCTGCAAGTTGACCCTGTTGTGCTTCAGGGAAAATGGATCAGAAAAAAAATTGTGCCTATTAATGTGTGTAAAACATTAATTAAAAAAAAAATAATGGGAAAGCATAGGGAGCCCTTGCAAAGTGCCACAGACTCAAGTCTGCCTCTGTGCAGCCAGCTTTTGCCAGGAATACATTTAAAGGGACAGCCACAGCAAGCCAAAATCGACTCCTGATTGTGGCTGTCAAAGGGAGGAGATTTGCTCCTCTGTGTGGTGTTCCCTCATAGAACAACAGAAAGGAAGTGAAGTACACACAATGCTCCTGTTCATCTGTCAAGCACTCATGGGTATTTTGAAAAAACAGCTGACATACACTTGATTGTTGTGGCATCCAAACAGTCACTAAAACTGCAATCCTGTGATTATAGAGGGATGGTGCCGCAGAGATGAAAGCCCTGGTCATGGAAAAGATCCAATCTAGATTTCCCTTCCTCACTGCCTCTGTGGACCTTGCCACAGCCCTCTCTCTGATGTCAGAACCACAGTGTTGCAGAGCGGGGAAATGGATAGAATAGGGGACGTTCTGGATATGAAAGTGTCCAAAGCTATGCCAACTCTCCACCACTTTCCTAACAGAAGGAAAAATTTGGACCAGCTGAGAATCTAGCAAATATTTCCCTTCTGCTACTCCCAATAGGAAAGAAACAGTAGTTACAGGAAAACTGGAGGAAAGGAGCCACACCTTCCTCCAGCAGACATTTTGAATAAATAATAAGATTGCCTTGTTACCAGCGAGGTATGGACTACATTCTGTTCCATTCCAGAATGGAATCTATTCTTTCTGTCATCTGTTCCTTGACATAAGCAGGGGGTTTTTTTACAACAGAATTTTGTACTTGAGCTAATTTGCATTGTATACTTTGCATTGTAGTTCAAAGTATACCTTCATTAATTCACATTAATTACTGTGCATTATCACTAACGTAAATAACTAATGTAGATTAGGGCATCAAACCAGTCTGTGTCACTCAAAAAGCCAGTCCACTGTGGATTCTGCAGGTTGGACTCATAAAAATCCAAACTCATTTGAATCCATTGTTTCAGTATCTCTACCTAACATTTTATTCTCTCTTTGAGATAGTGGCCCAATTAACCATACAGAATTATTGAATGCTATGAAATTCAAAGGACTATTTCCACATTATAGAATCATCAACCTACCTGGCATGCATAGAAATGGCCAGTAATTTTCACAACCACCTGATCATTTTCATCTGGAGTCTGGTCTCGAGGAACAACAACCTCTGCACTTGTCAAATTTTGAAGCTCATTTACCTGTGGGTTTGTACAAAAGCAAAATTAGTACAC